GTTCTTTGGGAGCACAGTAATGGCACTTTCTTAAGTCTGGCCACTGCTGTCCAGGGCGTTGCTCTGGCTGGCTCGTAGCTTATGGTGTCCTGTTCCAGGCAAGTTGCCAAGTGGGAAGGAAAAACTGTAAGTGTTCTGCCCTTCATTCTTGGAAAAGTCCTCTGTTGTCTGCCTCCAGTGATGACTGGCCACTTAACGAGAGGGGTAACAAGTAAACCCAGTAATCTGAGTGCTCAGAGGCACAGGCGAAGAGCACTGTGCTGTTAAAACCCACAGAGGAGTTGTTTATTTGTTATATTGGTCTTGTAGTTACAGGCACATTTATTTTCCTTCTTTCAAATCAAGTCAGATGTATCATTTCTAAAGTGGATATCCATCTTTTTTTCCCATCCACTCCTTAACATCCCTCACCTTGCTTGTGCTGGGCAACATACTTCTCCACCACTCTATTTGCTTCTCTACCTGTGTCAGTCAGAAACTAGGAGTGGATTTTCAAAGTTCCACAAGGACGGATGCGTTAACTTCAGGTTGTAAATGTTGTGTTCTGCCAAGCGTGTGCTTTGTTGATCTCCTTTGTTACTAAAGGCCAGAGCCTCTGAATGTCATCATCACCAATAGTCAGAAGATAATTTTCAGCTGTGTTTTTTCAGCGGTTCCTAAAGGTCTCCAAGATCCAGCTCAGGAAAGCTCCACCTTCCACAGCTGGAAGTTGGCCCAGGAGTCATGACTGAATGACTTTCCAGTTGCAAAAGTTTCTATTCCAAAGGTTCCTGTTAATTAATTAAAATCTTGCTATAAGTTTGAGAATCCATTTTTCCTTTAAAAAAAATAGCATCTTTTCATTTTCTTTTTAATTTGAACAAAAGATCTGAAACATGCTGGGGATCAAATGAGTCATCTCTCAGAGGGAGATGAGGGATCCACAAAAGGGAAAAAAAGAGGCCTTGGGGCTCTATACCTACTTCTTCTGTCCTTAAAACCAGCATGGCTTTGAACTCATGCAAAACAGTGAAGACTTCAGAAGGGACCCAGAAAGATGTTATCCCTCCCCAGAAATATGGCATGATAGGAAAGAAAACTGAAAAACAGAATTTTCCCAAGATCTGGTCTCATATTGTTCACCTGTCTGAAACACGGACAGATGTGTCAAATTGCAATGGGATTAAAATGTTAATGAGCAAGCTATTATTGTAAAAATAAAAAAGGTACTCAACTTCCATGGTTCACATAAAGAACAATTTGGCATTCTCTCTCGTTGTACGTGAGCAGCATAAAGATGTGGCTGAGACCTGCCATTGACACTCCAGATCTAAGTCCTGGGATTATCCTGAACAACCCTAGACTGAAATGAGCCAGAGAAAGGCACTAGGACAGATGAAAGGTAAGGATGCTAAAAAGGTAAGTACATGCTATCTATTTGTACTTTTCTTTTAAGACAAAAGTGGCAGTGGCCCTTTGATGGGTGTTAATAACAGGTTGAACTATATTCTCCCCAAATTCACATGTAGAAGCTGTAACCTCCATTACTTTAGGGGGGGAGGACATGTGGAGATAGGACCTTTAAAATAATTAGGTTGGAATGAGGCCATTAGAATGGTGTCTTATATAATCTGATGGGTGTCCATTTAAGAAGAACAAATTTGGACATGCAGAGATGCCAGGTGTACAGCCACAGGAAAGACCATATGAGGACACAGGGTGAGGGAATCCATCCGAAAGCCTAGGAGAGACTTCAGAAGAAAGAAACCCAGCTAACCCCTTCCAGCCTCAGAACAGTGGGTGAAAAGGGTTTTGTTCAAGCTCCCAGTTTCTGGAATTGCATTATGGGAGCCTAAGCAGACAGCTGCTAAGAGAAACTGGAAAAGGGAGGCTCCTAATATGCAGGCTTCTTTGACAAAACACACCTGCCAGCCTCTGGTCTGTGGAGCACTCGCACAGAACTGTGCTCACGATACCTAAGATGCCTAAGATCTCTGACTTCAGGACCTTTATTATCCTAATTGTAGTTATTATTGCTGTTCTGGTAAATTCAGGAGAATCTGCAGAGCACCATTGTGAAGCTACCCCTAGACGTATGCCTCAGCTTTGTATTCTAGCTTAACCTGTTAGTAAATGTCCTGGAAACAGAAGCCCCATGACTCACTGTCCCAGGAGGATCGGTGGCCATCTGGTAAAGACACACGCTTAGGACACGCGATAATTCCTGCCGAGAGGGTCAGTTTTTATAGTCATAGCTTATTCTTCTCACTGGAAACAAAGTGAAGGATGGATACACTTGTGAATGTTAATATCAATGTCAACTTGATGAGACCCAGAACCTTCTGAAAGATGGGGCTCTAGTGATACCTGTGAGGGATTACCTTGATTAGATTAACACCCACCCACTGTGGATGGTACCATTCCTTCACCTTGAGTCCTGAACTGCATAAAAAGGAGAAAATGAGCTGAGCACTAGCATCCATCTCTCTCTGCTTCCTGCCTGCAGATGCAATGTGACCAGCTCTCTAAAGATCCTGCTGCCCTGACTTCCTCACCATGGTGGACTGGACCCTGGAATTGTGAGCCAAAACAAACTCTTTTTCCATTAAGTTGCTTATGTCAGGATATTTTATCATAGCAACAGAAAAGTAACTAAAACAACATCCCACCCTGCACTTCCTCTGAAACTTAGGTCACAGGCAGTACTCTGTATTCCTGGTCAAATCCCTTGGATTGCAAATTCATTCTCCACAGATTACCTCTTCCCTGTTTTAAGCTCCATCTCCAACTAAAACAATCATTTTAAATTCTGTTGAGACCCAGAACTTGAGATTCCCTGTCTCTTCAAGTTGATATATTCCAAAATATCATGAGTCATCATACAAAACAAAACAAAACAAAACAAAACAAAACAAAACAAAACAAAACAGCAACCCAGGGGAGCCTGCCTACTGTGGACCTTGTCCAGATCACAACACTCAGATTCTTAGATTTGATTTCTTTTCTGATTCAGTTCTGGAGATTTTTCTTTTTCTACTTATCTATAAGGCAAGATTCCCAATTCTAAACTCTAAAGAACATGATTATATGGAAGATATTAGTGCTAGTGTAAAACATACTGTCTTTGAGAAACAAAGAATCTTTCACGAGTGCTAACTGCAAAGGTTAACTAATGCCAAGTGTGGGAGGAAGGAGGAAGGAGGAATCCAGACAGGTCTCCAACCTGAACAATCATCCATTCATTCTTTGAATCACTGAGTACAGAAGGGAGACTTAAAAGAGGCAGTTCTCAATAATTCTTGCTCACATTGCTCTTTCCTAGCAAATACCCACACTGGCATATACTGTGTAATTAACTAGTTTAGCACCATCACACGCTGGTCTTGTCTGTACCACCAGCACCAGACCATATGGGCCGGGGAAGCTTCCACTTCCCTCAGGCCCTGCATGTGGTCATCAAGAAGACTATTCTCCCAGGCATATGAGTGCTGGATCTACCTTGCTCTTCAGTCTCCCTAATCACACCAGAGACCCAAAGTCTTCACCAAAATGGTGAGCTCCCAACAGCAATACTAAACCTCTCTTCCATCATGATGGAACTGGGCTCCCTCCAGGCCTACCGCCCTTGCACATCCTCTGTGAAGTGTTTAGAGGTAACTGGCCCAGCCTGTAACCCCCGCCTTCAGCAGGACTTAATACCCAGTTGAATTCTGCCCATATAATAGTCTCCACCAATTTTTGGAAATCAAGGCTTGCATTTAAAATTTTTTCCACTTGTCACCCTTTTGTATACAGTAAGTATTCAATCAATGTTTACTGTTTTTAATATTAAATTATATGTATTTTAATCTTTATTATTTTTATCTTATGTGTATGAGTGTATTGCCTGCATGTGAGTGTACCCATGTTGTGCAAGGCTGCAGAGGTCAGAAGAGGGCTTTGGATTCCCCTGGAACATTTTTTATGTATACGAATGTATTGTCTGTGAACCATATGCATGCAATGCCCATAAAGGCCAGAGGAGAGTATCAGATTCCCTAGAATTGGAGGTAGAAATTGTTCCTAACCCCCATGTGGGTGCTGGGAACTGAACCCAGGTCCTCTTCAAGAGCAGCCAGTACTCTTAACCACTAAACATCTCTTCAGCCCCTGAAGTATTACTTTTTAAAAAATTATTTATTTACTTATTTTTATTTTATTTTATGTGTATGAGTGTATTGTCTGGATATATGTAAATGCACCTATGTCGTGCAATGTACACAGATATCAGAAGATGGCACAGAATTCCCCTGGAACTGGAGTTAACTGCCATGTGGGTGCTGGGAATTGAACCTGGGTCCTCTGCAACAGCAACTAGTGCTCATACCTGCTGAGCCATCTCGCCAGCCCCTGAAGGGTTATTTTTTAAATTATTTTGAGGGTGCTCTATTTGGATTTGGTTTGTTTAACATTACAGAACATAAGGTCATATTCTGATTTTTATAGGAATATGAGGAAGGGAAGTTTCCTTAGATAAACAAGGAAGATGAGCGATTAATAGTCTATAGAATTACAGATTTAGTGTTGACTAAGCCTTTTGAGGTAATGACCTAATGTTCTTCCTTGGGTCTCTGAAATTTCGGGAGTTCATGAGTTTTTAGCTTGTTTCAGATACCGGCAAACTGGTGGGTAGAAGATGTAGTTACTGAAATTATTTGTTTTTGCTTTTGTTTTTTGTTTTGTTGTAACAGGGTCTCCCTGGAGCCCCAGCTAGCCTGGAACTCTCTATGTAGATCAAGCTGGCCTCAATCCCATAGAGATCCACCTGCCTCTGCCTCCTGCTTGCTGGGATTAAAGGTGTGGGCCACCATATCCTGCTTTAGCTACTGGAATTAAATTCACTCCCTAGCCACTGTCTTCAAGCCTGTTTTCCTGAAATCTCACCAAGCTCTGGCTTTCAAACTAGAAACTGCCAGGGTAGAGGATGTAGCAGGCCACAGCTCTGGAGTGGACAGAGGAGACAAGTGTAGGAAGGTGCTTACTCGGTGCCGCTTTCCACCATTTGGGTGAGGAGGGAGATGCCATCCAGGTTTATGAACTCCTGAGCAAAGGTGATGTCCCTGGAGAGGCTAGCCAAGTCCTTCAGGGCTTCCAGCTTGGCGTCCATACTCGATGACTGAATTCGTTCATGGAGCTGCTGGGCATTTTGAGCCTAGGGGGTAGGTGGCGGGGTGGGGGGACAAAGGCAGAGAGAAGAGTCATTCATAAAGGAAATCACACCACAAAAATTGATGTGTTCCTGGGAAGGAAAGATGCACAGGCAGCATGTGTGTGAGAGAGTAACATCTCAAGAGCAGGCTTCCAGCCACACACACTCCCCTAAGTGCTCAGCCACTCCTTACATTATGAAAACCACATAAGGGCCCAGCACTGGCATTTCAGGGATGAGCAATGGTTAAGTCCACAGTAATAACACCCCCAAACTGAAGAGGCAGTGCCAGAGAGGAAATGGAAGGGATGGTGTTTACTTTTTCAATATAATTATTATCTAGAAGTGACAAAAAGCTATTTGCTTAGTTAAGCAATTACACAAATTTATACACCATGATCATTCAGTCAAAACACTGAGTAATAACTACCTACATTCAAAAGCTTCATTAGACACACAAACAAGACTTCCCAGTTACTGAAACCTTCCAACGGACATGATGCTTGCAAATTCTAGTTTTCAATAACATATGTTTCCTATTCAAGGGCTACTGATTGTGTGATTTTTAAAACAAAATAAATAATTAGGAAGCCAAATTAACAGCTCTTCCTGAAAAAGGGTTCTCCTTCCTAAGGCCTTGCTCTTGCCTGGTACACAGAGCAGAGCTAGAAGGGCATTGGTAGGGCTGGTCCTCAGAGAACCATATGTCATTTGTGTGATTCTTCCAAGCAAGGTTTGCTGGATCTACCTTCAGTTGGGGCAGGTAGTGGGGAAAATGACATCGCGCTCTCTCTTTCTCTCCCCTCCCCATAAACATCCTCTGTAGTTATTTAACTTAGAACCACGATAGTTGAAGTGTCTGCCCTCCTCATAGTCATCTCAGATTTCTGTTATACTATAAAGATAAAACAAGATGGAGCATGTTATGGTTTGGAAATGATTTGGTTTGTCCCCTGGTGGTCCATGTGTTGAAAGCATGGTCCCCAAACTGGAAAGTTAAGAGACAGGTGGTAGGATATTTAAGAGGTGGACTTTGTGGGCATTGTTACTGCCCCTCTGTGGTCCCTATCTTCCTGTCTCACCATTCACTTCTCCCTCCTACAGGCTCTCCCTCCCCTGGCTTCCCCCATGAGGGCCTGAACAGAGCTGGTTGATGATGTTGCCATGCTCTTAAACCTATGGAACAAAGAACTAAATGCACTCTGTTTAAAATAAGTTACCCAACCTCAAGTATTTCATTATAGTCATAGAAACTGCCCTAATTCATGGCATTTGACACCAACAAGCAACTAACTCTCCTGAACAGACACTGGTTCTAAAACAACTGACGAGGGTCTGGCTCAGTAGTTAAGATCTCTAACTGCTCTTGAAGGGGACCTGGGTTCAGTTCCCAGCATACACATGGTGGATAACAACCATCTATAACTCTAGTTCCAGGAGATCTGACACCCTTTCCTGGCCTCTAAGGACACTGCATGCACATGGTACACTTACATACATGCAGCAAAACACTCATACATATAAAATAAAAATAAATGTAAAGAAGTTTTAAAAAAACAACTGAGAAACACCCCGTGCTCTACAGTAGGGCTTGGTTACAAACCAGGGGCAGAGGCAGCCCCTTTATGGAGAAAAAAGGGTTCAACAAGGAAACCTGGGCAGTCCTTCTGGAACCCAGGGTAAGCACACACTCCATTACATGGTCAGAGGCCTACCAGGGTCACCTAGCTCATCACAATCCAAAGCTGGAACTCTGCATCAAAAATCAGAAAAGAACAAGGAGAGGAGGACAGGGAAGGAAGGAAGAACCTCCCTCCTGGGCCTCTGATTCACAGGTAACTATCAAGTCACAAGTCACCTTAAGCCTAGAGGCTCATTTATTTAAAAGCAGAAAAAGTTGAGTGCAAAATACTTAACGTTTTAACATCTTTAAAGATAAATCACTCTCCAAATTTTAAGTGGATATATAGGATTACAGGATATTCTAAATTTGGGTATTCTGATGCATACTCATCTACTGGCCTACCATAATCAAGCCACATGAATCATTCTGAATTCCTTGAAAACCACTTTTATCCACAAGAAATTTTCATTCTCTATACAGATGATGACAACTCAAAAGCTGTCTCACTGATGTCATTATTCATGGCAACCAACATGTTTGATGATGTTGATACTACTAATAATCACAGCTAGCAGTCACCATTATTCTAATATATTCATGAAGTAATTAATTTAATCTGCACTGAGTCCAATCATATAGATACTTTTATTTTCTTCTTCTGAAAATGGAAATTGAAATGGCAGGGAAGCTAAGTGACATGCCCAAGTCTCTCAGCTCTTCAGTGTCACTGAGATGACACCAGGGCAGCTGGATTCTACAGAAGAGCTGTTAACAGAGGATCCCCATGGCACAAAAATGGCCCACAGAGCTTCTGAAAACATAGATCATTTATACACAGTCAGAATTTCTTGATTTGGCTGGGTGGGGCCTCCAGAAATATCTGTTGAACAAGCTCCACGGGGTGGTCACTGTTTTTGGTATCTTCCCAACTGCACGCTGAGAAGACTGTTCCACTCAGACACTATATCTTACAGGGATGGTGGAGACATGCAACTCTGATTCTGTTGTTCATTCACCACTTTGTCTCCCTTCAATCATCCACAGTGAACCCTTCCAGCTCTACTGCACCAAGAAGAAAACCTGCTCACTCTATTAAAGCTTACCCAATTTTCAGGAAAGATCTTTTGCTAAAAAGGAATGCATTGCATCACTCTTTCTACTTCATTGGTTTGCCTTTTCAGGGACCTACTCCAAGGTAAATAAATAAATGAATAAATAAATAAATATTTAAAATAAATGAAGGACAGCAACCAAAACTTAAGCAGAGAAGTCAAGACCAGAGTCCCAAATCCCAAAGCTATGAATGGGGATGTTCTTTTACAAGGAGAACCACTCAGGAGAACGGGACAGCACAACCCTGTGGTGATGAGACTCAGCCTTGCATTGTCACCAATGGCAGTATGAAAATTTCTTCAGACAGTGTCATCTGCACCATTCACACTTCATAGACACAATGGCCTCAAGACCTGAGAGTGACGTGTGCCATTTCTGGGGTGCTTTTCTTTTTCTTTTGGAGAGACCTCGCCCCTTCCTTAGGAATCATTACCTAAGAAGTAACTCTTCCCAAAGTTGCAGGGTTGTTGACCCACACACCTGCACTTGTTTGGGAGCAAGTCTTTATCTTTAATTCAAGACTCACTTAAAGCACTGGGGAGGGAACACAATTAAAGAGGACATTGGGGGGACTCTGTGTCCTGCTCAGAGCTCCCTGCTAGCAATGACATCAGCTCTGTCACTGGCTGTTCAGTGCAATGAACTTCTCTTCACCTCTTTTGGCCTCATTTTCCCCATCGGTAGATCCAGCCAGGAACTGTAAAGGCATTCCATTCAAGGTTCCCAGCAACCCACCAAGTGACAGATTGTTTCTCAGCTGGGCAGAAACCCTCATCATGAGTTGGCCAGGAAAAGGACTCTATACATGTGAGTTCCAGATATGACCTCCAATCAAAATAGGATGTCAAACTGGTAGGAAGTGGTTAACGCAATATCTATCCGTCCTGTTGGAACTGCACAGGGAGGGCTAGATGTTCATCTCTAAACAATCTGGATGCATAACTCTCATTGTTAAAAATAAAGGAGAATAAAGTATTTTAGTATCAAACTGTTTGGGTTTTGAAAGAAAAATTATATTTTGAATATCAATTATTGCAGAAAATCATTTGATATAACTTTATTTGGCCTCTTTTCAGGTAAACCCTTTAATCATCCATGTGGAAACAAGGTTACCCCTCAGAATCCTCAGTCACTGGTTTAATAGATACTTTGGGAAAGTTTATTCTCAGTCTAGCACATTTGGGAAACAACAACAAACAAGACAGATGAAGTTTTGCCTTCCCTCAGCTTATCTACCCTGGAGTGAGAAGAAGACACTTGAAATACTAGAAATAAATATTAAATAAAGCAAGTAACAAAATGGAGGGGTATGATGGAGAGTAACTGGTGACATGTTTAACCAAGATAAGTTTCAAGCACATGTTGTCTAACGCAGTGGCATCCATGCAGAGATATAACAAAGAGACCAGCATATCGGAGAGGGAGAATATACTAAGCAGAAGGGATGGTTAGTGCAAAAGTTCTACAGGTGAAGCAAGCAAGAGACAAACAAGGACCCTTGGGGCAGAGAAGGGAGGAGGTAGGAGGTAGAACAGAGGGGTGGCAAAGCAGGAGGTCCACAGTGTCCAGGAGCTTGGAGAGCCCGAGGCTTTCTGTATGGTGATGTGCTTCTCTGAAAGAATGCATTGGGGCATCTGAGGCAGACGTCTGCTGCAATGACTTGGAGACCTCAAAGTAGCATTTACATCTGGACACTAGAGACCCCTGTCCAACAGTAAGACAATGGTAAAATACCATGGGATGTGGCATGAAATGTGTGAAATTATGTCAAGCTCTGAGAAAATAGGTACATCTGTGATAAGAATATTAAAGGCCATGACCAGGATACAAATATGTTATTGTCTGTGAAGGCAGAGTGCAGGCATGCAAGAGTGTGTGCCCACTAGCACACCAGCGCAAGAAGAAACGTGTTAGACTCTCTTACTCCAGCGTCTGGAACAGTGCCTGGCACTCACAAGGAGCTCAAAAACAAATTGCACTACATGAAGTAAATGACCATAGGTATATATGTATACCTGTATATATTTTCATATAAATGGATAAAGAAGACAAATCAAAATATTACTTATGTTTAATTATAATGTCTTTTTTAAAGCAAGATTGGTTTTATTTTTCTATAATGATTCTGCACTCTTTATATTTTGAAGAGAAAAATGAGATTATTAAAAAGGAAAATGCCATAGTCCAGATTTGTCAAGTAATCAGGACAAAATGAAAGTTTAGTAGGTATGAAAGTGGCCATGTCAGTAAATTTTATTTTCTGGCA